TATTTAAACATGCTCTAGTCTTAAGTAAGTCAAACGTTCTTGTGTGCCTCCTTGTGGAGTAAGCACGTCAGCACCGAAGGAGGCACCGGAGGGGAGGGTTCCAGAGGCGGGTTGGCAAACAGGGAACAGGAGCGCTCTATAAGAAGAGAAGGAGCGGAGAGAAGAATCAAAACACTCAGCCGGGAGAGGAGAGGAGAGGAGAGGAGGGGAGGGGGGAGTCGGACTGGAGAAATGGAAAGCGTTTAGGATGAAGGCTTAGATAAATAGTTTGCCCTGAGAAGAAACATTTTATTTGTCACTTGTTTAAAACCCAAAACCTGCAGGCAGTGAGTGAGGACTCTGCGCTCCCGGTGCGCCTCGGAAATCTTGGATGAGCGCTTCTTCAGCACCTTGAGGAGAGGACAGCTCCGCTCTGTCTGCCCCACACAAAACTCTGCTTCTTTTCACGTTCCAGTCTGACACTCTGCTCCTGTCTGCTTCAAGTCTGGGAGAAGTGAGAAGACCCCCCGCCGGAGGGACCCGCCTCTGACTGTGTGCTCAATATGTACCAGGGGCATTTACAGGTAAGAACTCGGCATGAACAAATGAAGTGAGGCGGACAGGGCGCACTTTATTTAGCAGCCTATCAAGGACATTTGTTAGGCTATTTTTTTTAATTCAGGGAGCCATAAAGGCAAGTGTAGATCCATTCAAATGTTTCATATTTCTGTAACAGAGATGCTCACATTGCTTTGTTTTAGCCAAAACAACTGATTCTTTTTAGCCACTGATATTTCCATTATTCACCTGAACACTGAAACTATGGCATGCCTATTGCACGTGCAGGGGCATGACAAAACGTAAACAAACAGCAACTCAGGACTGTGGCAGACTTGCCAGTACAATAAACATCAGAGTTTTTAATGCAGAAAAGCATCACGTGACGTCATATAATCTGACATTAAATTTCAAACAGCTATTTTTATAATCATCAGTGCAGCTAAATAAATAAATAAATAAATAAATAAATACAAACATGGCAAAATAAGCAAATAGAAATGTTGCATTTTCTGCAAAAATATAGAATGATTGTAGAATGGCTTATTCAAGCATGAATCATGACTGAGTTGTTAAAATTAAAGCAAACAAAGCAGAAGCAAAAATCATCCAAACAACAGCTACAAGCTAAATAAATAAATAAATAAATAAATAAATAAAAGTTTAACTGTAAAGCTAAAATTAGAAAAACTGAATCTTTAAATGTAATTTAGCAAAATAGTTGATAAATGTATAACAGCAAAGTTTAGCACAACTTTAGCCAAAAGCTAAAAGTAGCAATCGTTAGCGAAATGCTAGCGAACAGAATATTAAGTAGGCTAACACTAAAAAGAACAAAACAAAATGACAAAAACTAGTGAGTGAGTTGATGTAGATATAGCTTTTTCAATGTTTTTTTTAAAAAAAACAGAATATGTAGCTCTAATATCTTTCACAATAATTTAATTTATTCTAAATATTGCTATTTTTAAAAGTGTAAAAGTTAAAAATAAAGATTTTAGCACAATATGGCTGAGTTGAATGCTTAGATGCAATGGTTAAAATAGCACCATAATTACAAATGCATTTTGTTTCCAAACAAATTGCACAGTAGAACATGAAAACAACATTGTGAATGCTGACTCAGCAGTTCCACTATAAGAAGTGTCAGGCCTCAGCTGTGCTTCTCAACCTGCACCTCATTAGTTTCTGGTCTGGAATAACAATATTGTGTGTTAGATGTCTGGATTGAAATTATTGACAAAAATAGCTCAGTTTGCAGACTGGTTATGTAATAAAATATTTCTCAGCCAAGATTTTGAAGCTTTGTGACTAAAAATTAATACTTTATGACATGTTACTTAATGAGTATCTTTTGAAAATGCGCCACGACAGAAACTGCCACAGGGTTTACTTTTTTCCAATGCTCAGTAAGAAGCTGTAACCAGTTTGTGTCTTTATGTGCATTTTCCACATTTCATCCATTTTTCAATTATCTCATATTTTACGTTTTTCATTGCATGAATGCGAGTCGTGCTGCTCAGTGCATGTTATCAGAAACAAGTTGCTGCTTCATTTCACTCATATTTGGGGATAATTCAGAAGCAGCAAATGTCCAGAGGGTGAAAAGGAAATGATTTCTCTGTCTGTAATTGGAACTGATGCCTTCATCTCGCTGCCAACAACTATGTCCTTTTTTGAAGTCTAATGTGTGTAACTGTGAGCAGGTGATGAGAGCAAATCTGTGTCACGTACAAAGAGTGCAATGATTGCACAGGTGATGAATGGGTGGGAAAAGTTGTCTTCGCGGTTGCGACAGAAAAACGTGAAAACACTGTAGGGTGGTGATGGACCACTTTTAGGTTACTCAGAAACACTAACTTTCTATGCAAGTACGCACTCAAAGGAACATTTTCCAAGAACTTTGGAACGCAGTTTTCACAACATCCGTATCCAGCATGTATTTTTTGAATGCGCCATCGTAGAACAATGCAGAAATGTTGATTATGTCAACTGAAATATTCAATTTTACATGTTTCTCTTTGTTGACGTGACCTCTGAATAAAAGCTTGTGGCATGAATAATTGAGAGTCGTGGCTCTCTGTTGCTTGGAATTTTAAATGATGCTTATACATAGATTTCTGGAGCAACACCAGTTCATCAGCCGGTTGCTCGTGCGCTGAGCTATCAGGTTTCATACTCTGAAGCTCCTGCAGCTGTATTTATTGTCAAAACACATCTGTCAGTCAACATTGGTCGGCTTACATGTGACCCGTCACATCAAACAAATTCAGTCAAAATGATGTGAACGCATTTTTTGATTCTGGTTTTTTTTAAGCTAAAATTTCTTACCTGGATCATCCATCACGAGTGGTTTCAGGGATATCCTATTTTTTTAGTTTATTCTAATAACAAAATTTTGACTGCATTGTATTTGGAT